AAAAAAAAAAAAAAACAAAATCACAAGTGACCTTTCTAGAACTATATTCACATTCGGATCTTACAAATGAGGGCAAATAGAAAACGGCACAACACAGGTGCAGGGCAGAGACCGAGAAATTGCTTCGAAACCCTAATCCGCCGGCTCCCAGGCTTCCATCGCTGGTCTCCGCCGTGGACAACCGCGCCGTACAGTAGGACCCTTTGAATTTCCAGCTGTTAGCTCGACCCATTTTATCCACACCGTTTCTTCAAACCGCCACCAGCGTGATCTAACTGGCACCGCGTAGTTGTTCTACTCGTGCGATTAGCTCTGCCATAGACGCCTGCTCAACCCGGATTACACCTTGGTGCCTCAGTGCTAGCACAACCAAGGAAAGGAGACGGAGGTTTGTTTTATAGATTGCTAGGGTTTTCCAAATTTTACTCGAATATATGCAGAATCGTGTTCTTTCGTCTATATATCTTATTTTTTTTTCCCGTTAAGTTGTAATTTCGCTCATTTCTGATGTTTCACACATGAATTAGCTGGTTAATCCATTTGTTACATTCATGTTTGATCAGAAATTCTTGATTGGAGTACTGTGAACTGTTCCTGGTTGGAGGTAGAGATATTCCAATATGGAGGAGACTAAAAGCAAATCTAGGAAGGAGGGATCTGAGAAGGAGCGCAGTAGGGAAAAGGAGAGGAATGGGGACAGGCATAGAGACAGGGACCGGGATGGTCGCCATGATAGAGAGAAGAGTGTTGATGACAAGTACCGGGAGAAAGGAAAGCACAAGAGTAAACGACGTGAGAAGGAACAAGACCATGAAAAAACCAGGAGCCGTGATGATGAAAGGGTTCGAGACAAGTTGAAAAGTAAAGAAAAAGAGAGGGAAGAGAGAGAGTTGGATAAGGATAGGGACCGGGAGAAGGGAAGGGACAGGGAGAAGGAGAAGGAGAAGGAGAAGGAGAGGGCAAGGGATAGGGATAGAGCGCGGGAGAAAGAAAGGGAGAGGGAGAAAGAAAGGGAGAGGGAGAAAGAGAGGGAAAGAGAGAAGGAGAGGGAGAGGGACAGATACGAGAGGGAAAAGGAGCGAGAGAGGGAAAGGGAGAGAAGGGAGAGGGAAAGAGAAAAAGAGAGGGAAAGGAAAGAGAGGGAAAAAATGCGGGAGAAGGAAAAAAGTCGAGCTAGGTCATACAGTAGTGATGAAGATGTTAGGGAGCACGAGAAAAAAAGGCGCAGGAGAGAGGAAGATCATCAGCACAGGGACATTGAACATAGAAACAAGACGAGCCGGCACAAGGATGGTGGTCAAGAGAGTTCCCTAAAAAAGAGTGATGGTGACTTGGAGACCAAGAAAGAAGAGTCACGAGAAGAGGACTTCGCTGAAGAGCAGAGGAGACTGGCTGAGGATATGGAAAAGCGGAGAAGGAGAGTTCAAGAGTGGCAAGAGTTAAGAAGGAAGAAAGAGGAATCTGAGAAAGAAAAACTCGGGGTGTCAACAACTCATGAACCTGAGTCCGGGAAGGCATGGACCCTTGAAGGTGAATCTGATGATGAAGAATCTGGCGATCAGGGAAAATCAGCAATGGATATGGATGAGGATGATGGGGCAGTGAAGCCCATTGGTGAGGATGGAAATGACATGTCCACTGATCGTGAGAACGAGGCTGTTCCTGCTGTACAAAATGGCGTTGACCATGCTGATGAAGATGATGAAATTGATCCGCTTGATGCATTTATGAATTCTATGGTGTTGCCTGAAGTTGAGAAGCTAAACAGTAGCATGGTGTCTGCTGCGAATGATACGGGTCCTGATTTGGTTAAACCGAGGTTGGAACCCTCTAGAAAAGGGAAGAACATATCCACTGGAAGAATTATTCCTGGAGAAGATTCTGATTCAGATTATGGCGATATTGAGAATGACGAAGATCCTTTGGAGGATGAAGATGATGAAGAATTCATGAAACGGGTGAAGAAAACCAAAGTTGAGAAGCTTTCAATTGTTGACCATTCCAAAATTGAATACCCTCCTTTCCGGAAGAATTTTTATATTGAGTCGAAAGAAATTTCCAGGATGACCTCTGAGGAAGTGGCTTCATTCCGTAAACAACTGGAATTGAAGATACATGGAAAGGATATCCCGAAGCCAGTCAAAACATGGCATCAGACTGGGTTGTCAAGTAAGGTTTTAGATACTATTAAGAAGTTGAATTATGAAAAGCCAATGCCCATTCAAGCTCAGGCCTTGCCGATAATCATGAGCGGTCGAGACTGTATTGGTATTGCAAAAACTGGTTCTGGTAAAACTCTTGCTTTTGTTCTGCCTATGTTGAGGCATATTAAGGACCAACCTCCATTGATGTCGGGGGATGGCCCTATAGGGCTTATTATGGCACCCACGAGAGAACTTGTTCAGCAAATTTACAGCGACATCAAGAAGTTCGCGAAGGCTATGGGTGTTAGCTGTGTGCCTGTGTATGGAGGTTCTGGGGTCGCTCAGCAGATAAGTGACTTGAAACGAGGGACTGAGATTGTGGTATGTACGCCAGGTAGAATGATTGATATTTTGTGTACAAGTGGTGGAAAGATCACGAATCTCCGCCGTGTCACTTACTTGGTCATGGACGAAGCCGATCGTATGTTTGATATGGGTTTTGAACCTCAGATTACGAGGATCGTGCAGAACACACGACCAGATCGCCAGACAGTGCTATTTTCCGCCACTTTCCCTCGTCAAGTTGAAATTTTGGCTCGTAAAGTTTTGAATAAACCAGTTGAGATACAGGTAGGAGGGAGGAGTGTTGTGAACAAGGACATAACCCAACTGGTTGAGGTGAGGCCAGAAAGTGACAGGTTCCTCAGACTGTTAGAATTGCTCGGAGAATGGTACGAAAAGGGGAAAATACTTATCTTTGTCCAGTCACAAGAAAAATGTGACTCATTATTCAAAGACTTAATTAGGTCCGGATACCCGTGCCTTTCTCTCCATGGCGCAAAGGACCAAACGGACCGCGAATCCACAATAGCTGACTTCAAGAGCAATGTGTGCAATGTACTGATTGCCACAAGTATTGCAGCTAGAGGTTTAGATGTGAAAGAGCTGGAGTTGGTCATAAACTTCGACGTCCCCAACCACTATGAGGATTACGTCCATCGTGTTGGTAGAACAGGCCGGGCTGGAAGAAAAGGATGTGCTATCACATTTGTATCTGAGGAGGACGCGCGATACGCACCCGATCTTGTGAAAGCCTTGGAATTATCCGAACAAACTGTACCGGATGACCTTAAAGCCCTTGCTGATGGATTTATGGCCAAAGTCAATCAGGGGCTTGAGCAGGCCCACGGGACTGGTTACGGTGGCAGTGGTTTTAAATTCAATGAAGAGGAGGATGAGGTGAGGAAGGCCGCGAAGAAAGCTCAGGCGAAAGAGTACGGGTTTGAGGAAGATAAGTCGGACTCGGAAGACGAAGATGATGGGATCAGAAAAGCCGGTGGTGATATTCCTCATCATGCTGCTTTGGCGCAAGCAGCTGCTTTAGCTGCCTCTAAAGTGGGCCCAGTCTCGACTCCAATCTCAGCTGCTCAGCTTATAACGAATGGATTGCCTGTTATTGGTTCGGCTACCATGGCGGCGGCCGTCATGAATTTGCAGCATAACTTGGCGAAGATTCATGCGGATGCAATGCCTGAGCATTATGAAGCTGAACTGGAGATAAATGATTTTCCGCAGAACGCCAGGTGGAAGGTCACACACAAGGAGACACTGGGCCCCATATCCGAGTGGACCGGGGCAGCCATCACGACCAGAGGTCAGTATTACCCTCCCGGCAAGAATGTGGGGCCAGGAGAGAGGAAGCTGTACTTGTTCATTGAGGGCCCGACTGAGCAGTCTGTCAAGAGGGCAAAAACGGAGCTCAAACGTGTGCTGGAGGACATCACAAATCAAGTGTCTTCACTTCCGGGATCGGCTCAGCCAGGCCGGTATTCGGTTGTCTAAAAGAGATGCCTTTTGTCTTTTGTCCGTTGAGTCTTATTTTTGCATCCTTTTTTTCTGTTAGGGCTAGTCTATTGACAATGATTCAACATCATTTTTTGGCCCAGTAAAAGTTCCAGTTTCTAACATAATGATTATGAAAATTATTTGCTTTTAAAGCTTTGTCTGTATTATTGATGTTTTATGCCATGTTATACCTTGAAATGAATTGGAATTGATTTTTCTTGATATTTCTGTGTGTGTAATTATAGCGTGTGGCTGATATTATGATATACGGAATAATGGTGGTCTTATTTTTGCTCTCATTTAACTTGGTTGCATTTTCTTGCACGTATGTAATGGAAATGATTTAGATTGCCATTTTCGTTGTGATTTAAAAAATTTTTGCATTCTCTTCAACACAAATATCTTCTCTTGTGTGGTCTTGTGGTTGTCTGGTATCAGGATTTCGTTAGACATTTGGAAATGATGCATACTTGTTCTCTTTCTTCTTGAGCTTCCGATAAGTATATTATTATAGTGGCAACCCATGGAAGTTGCTCACTATATGTTCTTTGATATCTTGTTGTCTTTATGTTCCATGTCATCTCTGAGCAACTTTTCACAAAACATGCGGTGGATGGTCATTCGCAAGGAGAGGCTGGGCCCGATAATACGACCAGAGGGAGTAATATCCACTTGCAGGATTGTGAGGCCGTGGCAAAGGAAGCTGTTCGTGTTCGTTGAGCGCCCCACCGAGTAAGATGTAAAGAGAGATCACTTCTAGGTACGGCTCTGCACACCCCATAATATGCCGTCTAAGGGAAATGCCTTTGTCATTTGTGCTTTCAAAAGTGATTTTTTTTTTTTTCCTCTTCTTCTTCTTCGGGTTGTAGGCTGGTGTAGTGATGAAAGATTTGATGCCATTTTTCTGCCATTAGAAGTTTCAATTTTACTCATAGTGATGTGAAATTCTGGGAAGTAATTCGCTTCTGAAGCTTTTATGCCAATGTATAACTGGAATGAATCTGGAGTAGTTCATATTGTTGGGGTTAATAATATGATATACAGAATCATTATGGCGTTTCTCCCTTGCCCTAGTTGAAATCTTGTTGCTGCGTTTTCTTGCACGGCTGACGATGGAAATGGCTCGGATCGCCAGTTTCATTGTGATTTAGACATCATCTGCATATTTTCTCTTTATGATCTAGTGGTTGTCTTCTGTTATTACAAGTTTTCAACTATGAAATATCTTATGGTGCATTAACATATCCCATGGCGCTTTTTCAAGATCACCGTGCAGTTATGTTAGATTATGCTTTTTTAGGCGGGTTGATTCATCTATTTAGTTCCTAGCAGTTTGTAAATGTTTTGATTATTGTTTCATTTGAAAAAAAGGTTATCACATATTCAGCCTTTTAGCTGTTTGATTCGTCTATTTAAGTTGTTTATTACTAATTTGTAGATGTTTTGATTAATAATAATAATTAAAAAAAAAAATATCTAGTGTGCATAAACAACTCGCTTCCAATTTTCCTATATAATTCTACACTTCAATCTAGTCGTTGCGATGATATATTTTTCTATTTTTTTTTAATATTGAATATTAAATTTAATAGACTTGGTGTAAATGTAACAAATATAAACAAGTCGGACAAATAAAAAAATTTATATATTATTGAATACTTCATTGTAAATAAAGTTTTGGTTTGATTTGGTAATTAAATAATTTTAGTATATGAATTTGACAATAATAAATAAAAAATGACCAAAAAAATTATTTATCTCTTCAACATTGAAATTTATTTTCAACTAATTGACTTCGAATTTTCTTTGAAATATACGAACAACCTTCAATGTCGAGTATAGTTTATTTTTTTTGGCAAATCGAATTAAAAAAACACTACATGAGCGGCATATTGATATGGTGAAAAAATGAAATTAATCTAATTCTATAGATTAGCGATTGACAGATTAGCGATTGAAAAATAATGAATCTTTTAAATGAGACGTAATTTACTATATGTCCAAGTCCTTTAAGAATTGTTTTAATCGGATTTCATTAAAACTATGTAGCAAAATTGCGAAAGATTTTTTTGTAGATGTAATTGAATCCGATATTGCAATTAGAATATAAAATAATTTTTAAGAATGGTATATATTTCTGTTATAAGTGAATGTTACCTAAAAATTCGGTAACAATGTATTAGCTTTTTTATTATCCAGTGGCATGTGAAATTGAAATTCTTTGACATGTGGTTTATTTATTTAGATGTGTTTCTATGAAACAATGTAGGTAAAATTAAATTTGATTGATGTAGATTTGTATTTATCATTCGTTCATATGATTATTTAATTAAATATGTTCGTTATTTATTAGTATGTAAATTTAAATGGTGGATTTATAATTGATTAAATAATATGTAATTCAAAATGTTGGATTATATTTGTGTTAATTTGTGTCATTTTATGCATGTCAATTACAAATGACAAAATTTCTATAAAAGAATATTTCGATGTCTGTTTGATTATAGCAGCTCAATGCGTTTTGAACAAAAAAATAAAATCCCCTCTATATATTATTCCCGAATGCGCTGAGCCTACGTGGCTGTTTCTGGTGCTTCGGAATCCTACTTGGCGAATAATCGACATTCCAAAAATATTATTTAGCTAACTTAGGTATTTTAATATCACTTTTACTAATATAACCCTTTAATTCTTTGTAATTTTATATAGTGAGACACTAAGTGACTAATATATCCCTAACTTTTGATTTGTTTCCTTCAATTAGCTATTGAATTGTAAATTTATTTTAAAAGTTGATAACTTTTGTATTTCTTATCGGTTTTACATATATAATATATCAAATTAATCATCCTTTGATGATCTTCGATTTGACATCCATATTGTATATATGAAATAAATAAATCATATTTATGTTTATAATAATAAAAAATAATAATATTTATTAAAATTCATTAGAAAAATAAAATTATTTCTCAATTTATATATTTATGTTTAATGTAGTTATATGTTGTAAGTCAAAAAAATATTATAATATAACACAGGTAAGTCGCACAAATAAAAAAGTGTCATATTAAATATATAATAATATATATATTTTTATAAAAGGTATTGAAATTTTCAATTACTTTTTCTCATTAATTTTAGATTTTAAGAAACAATTAGCAAGCACCCGTGTAATACACGGGCGTTGTACTAGTAAAATAATAATACACTAAGATTTATTTAATTGATAATAAATAATATTTTAATTATAAATTTGAAAGAGATTATATTTCATGGCCAAACGTTTTTTGTATAGCAAATCTCTCTACTAATTATCCAAATAAATTTCAGATAAACATGGTATGTCGAATTCATTTACAAACTAAGTTCTTGACCAAACAACCAAAACTTTAATTTATGAACAATTTAAAATATTAACATATACCTTTACAACTGGAACCGAATTTTAAGTAAATTTTGCGTAGAAAATCTGTACCATAAATAATTTGAAATGTAGCAAAAAAGCATACATAATTTATACCATAAATAATTTAAAATTAGCAAATCATATATATTAAACACATGAAGATCAAAAAACATTACAATATTTTTAATTTAAATCGGATTGTCAAAAGAAGAAAGTCAAAGGTTTTGATCAATTTTTTTAATCAACTTTCCACAAATAATTCTTCCATCAACGTCTTTAAATATATATAGATATAGATTTTCCTCATAGTTAATATTCCTCTTCCCCAGCAGCTTATCATGCAAAGAGAAATGAATTAAGTTTTGATGTTTACTTATATTAGGGATTAGCCAGATAGCTTGAAAGATTTCGAAACACTTGTTTTTGTTTTATCAAAAAACAAATTATGAGAAATACGTAGAAGATTTCTGTTTATATCATATTCTAAGCATACACAAAACATCTCATTAACCTCCCATTGAATGTTTGCAAACATTATCAAACGTATGAAATGCTGAAAAAAATCTTAAATGATCGTTCCCATACACAACATTTTCAAAACCTCCCATCGAATGTTTGCAAACATAATCAAACATATGGAATGCTGAAAAAATTCTTAAAGGACAGTTCGAAGTGAGCTATATGCATGTTAACTAACATCAACAGGCCTATATTTTGGTGATCTAAAAGTCCATCCAACATTAAGTGCCTAACTCAACCTAGTAGACAATTTAACACCAAACATCCAACTATAACACCAAACATTAGACCTTGTTTGGTAATCAACGGTTAGTCGATTGCATTAGCTGCTTGGACCATATAATTGTGACAGACGTTTTGTAAAAAAATGTTTGGTAAAATTAACTATTTTTAATTAGCTGTTAACATGTAAAATTACTTATTATGACATCTTCATAATTTATCATTCTTATTTATGTTGATTTATAATTATTTAGAAAATAAAAATAATTAATTTTTATATATTTATTAAAGTGATGTAAAATGTACAAAAATTTAAATAATAATAAAATGAAAATATTTCTTAATTGAGTAAATAAGATCGCATCATATAAACAAAGCTAATATCAAGTCATAATTATTTAAAAAATCTAAATGTAAGTCAATTGCAATATATCTTATTACATTTAAAAAAAAAAAGAAAAAAAAAAATCAAAGTAACTAAAACTAAGTAACTAAAATTTACATTAACAATTTCCAAAAGTTCCCATGGACTAAGTAACTAAATATATCATTTATTTAGAATTTTCTTTCTCCTTTTACTTTATGAGATTTCTCTAATTATTTGGATGTTTGTGAAAACTTTTTTCTTTCTCCTTTTTTATGAGATTTCTCTAATTGTTTGGGTGTTTGTGAAAACTTTTTTCAGGAGATTTTTTAAATTGTTTGGATGTTTATGCAACTTTGAAATTTTTTTCACTAGATACCTCAAATTGTTTGGATGTTTCTACACCTTTCTGATATTGCCTCAGGAGTATGTGATGAACTAATATATACAATAGGATATCTACATAGTTGCCTATATATGTTTAAAATTGTAGAAAAATAGTTATTGAAATGATATTTGTATAATTAAATATATCTCTTATATTACATCACTTATAATTTTGCAAATTAAATATCAATACTATCCACAGCAGAAAATCGTATTAATCATTAGGAAAACTGTTCTATGTTTGTATCAATATGTGAGGAAAACTAAATATTACCACTATCCTAACCAGAACCTCCTCCACGCATTCCGGGTCCTCATATCTTTTCCCTCAGACATTGAAATGCCTCGGACACCATGATAAATTAGTCAGACATTGAAATGCCTCGGATACCACACGGAAATTTTTTTTTTGCCTCTTTTATAATAATCTTTATTACTCATACTTATAATGTCCTCAGCAAATACACAAACTCTTTATTACCTGGAAAAAAAAAACAACATATTGTTATCTGTCACTTAAATAAGAAATTAGTAATATTTATTTGTATGACTTTATCAATATTAAATTTCAAGTCGTTATTCTTCAAGTGTTATGAATTAAGAAGGTGTATATAAATAACATAATTTAAAATATAATAAGAAAACTAAATATTGTTATCTTTCACATATTTTGAAAAAGAAAATAGTAAGTTTCATTTGTACGACTTTATCAATATTAAATTTCAAGTCGTTATTCTTGCAATTGTTATTCACTTATTTTGAAAAAGAAAATAGTAATTTTTTATTTGTATGACTTTATCAATATTAAATTTCAAGTCGTTATTCTTGCAATTGTTATGAATTAATAAGTATATATAAATATAATGTAAAATGTAATAGGAAAACTAAATAAACTCCTAAATCCTATGTTCATGTTCCTTGCACCTTTAGGTGTTATGTTCATGTATCAATCATGTCATATCATGTTAGGAAAATATGTTCTATGTATCCATCATGTCAGATCTTGTTAGGAAAACTAAATATTTTCTGGTCCTAATGTTAGTTCATGAATAATACTCTTAGGAAAACTAATAAATATTTTCTAGTCCCAATGTTAGTTCATGAATAATACTCTTTGTGATATCATATGTTACTGTATTTCTGAAAAAGTTAATGAATAATACTCCTATCATATATGTTCTTATGGTGATAAGAGAATGTTGATGCTTGTTACCAAAATAACATAATAAAACATAAGCAAAATGAATACACAACTGCATAGTTGTTTGAGCTAAATGGGTCTTCATATATATTGGTCTTAGAAAAAAACTCTCAAACTAACAAAATACCATGGTAGTAAAAAGTGGAAAGGGAAAATACAAAAGTAAATTACAATACCATTGCAATATTTCCCATCCCATAGATCTCAACCTTGTCTCTTAACCTCAGAAGAGCAAGCACAACAAACTAAGCATGTAGATTCTACTAAACATAACAAAAAAAAAAAACTCGAAATCACTGAGATACACCCAACCACTTTGAGAAGTTCTCGAATTCTGTGTAGTCGCTATCTGAGATCATAGTCTTGTACCAGGCCTTGCCGGCAGATTTAATTGATGATGCCTCCTCCTACAAGGAGGAAGAAAGGAGAAACCGAACAAAGAACAGCGAAGAAAAAAATTCATCAGTAGAAAGCAACTAACTGCATTCAAAGCAATATGCCCAGCAACTAAAAAACAATACTCATCAACCAGCAACTAACTTCAGTCGAAACATATAAGTAAAGGGTTAGGTAAGACAAACAACCATTCAAATCGAAATAATCCTCATCGGCCACTAACTCCAGTAACAACTCATGCCCATGGAATGCCAAGTACTATGAACTGATATACAGCATAATAATGATAAACCAATGATACACACAACTGTGTTGTATTGATAAAAAAATTGTTTATTGTTAAACTAACTCGGTACATATAAACAAAATATAGTACTAACACTCTAATAGAAAGTAACTTCAGCAGAATGACAATACAAATAGTATATACGAGCAAAAAGCAACTAATTTTGAGTAAGCAGCACGATCACTACAGCAAAGGAAAAAATATAGAAGGACACAAGTACCTTAGTGGTCTGCTTCCTCTTCTTATCAAGCTTCTCCTTCTTAGCCTTAACCCTTTCTGCCTCAGCCAGAAGTGCCATCCTCTTGGCAGCCTTGGCATAAGGATTGAGCTTCAGCATCACATTCAGATTCTTCAATGGGTTCTTCTTCAGGGGGGCCCTCTTAGTCTCCTTCTTGATCGGCTTCACCACAGACTGCACCTCATCCGAGTTGATGATCCTGGCCAAATCAGCATTGACCATCTTGGTCCTTGGCAGAACATAACCCTTCTTCTTCTCAGATGGCTTGTCAAAAGTTCCATAAATCTCGTCGAGCTTCTCAAAGGCAGACTTGGTCCAGATGATGAATCTCCCAAGATGGCCACCAGGGGCAAGTTTGAGAAGGTTCAGGCGCGAGACATGGGCAAGCTCGACACCTGGGATGTTGCGGAAAGCATTGACGAGCTTTGCTCCCTCAGTTCCATAAACCACGAGCGGCCCTTTCCTGGATATGTAGCGGCGGTTCCGCATTTTCCCCTTTCCAGGGCGGATCGAGTGGCTGTTTTTGGCCTTCTCGGCATCAGGGAAGGCGCCAACCTGCTTGAGGATTTTCACGGCGGCGCTAGTCTTCTCCGCGGCCTCAGCGGCATCAGAGACGACGAGGGGAAGCTCGGGAACCTCCTCAATCCTGTGCCCGCGGGCAAACACGAGCGAGGGGACGGCAGACGCGGCAATGGCGGAGACGATAGCGTGGCGCTTCTGGGTGACGTTGACGGCCCTGTGCCAGCGGC